TCGTACGAACAAAAGTAAGAGAAATTTAGGATAAGAATACGAACATGTTCTTGCATGAGGCCCATTGTCTTCGATTCACATGAAACCACCACAAAGAACATTGAATTTACATAAACTGTTTGAATGACAACAAAGGGTAAGGGACATCTACAGATTGATTGTAATTAAATAAAAGTTTGGTTGGCCAGTGACAAATTAAATTTTGCTTCTCCTAGTTTTTCATAAGCACTGAAGAGCTACTTTAAATAAGCTCACGAGCTACCGGTTGGAGACCCCTGCTCTAGAATGTTTCTTTCATTAACTTGTGCCACCACCTTGTGGATGTTTGCACAAACTACAGCGATCATGTTTAACATGAGTAAATCTAATTAAGCTTCTGTACAACATCAGARTGACTTTAGTTTATCAGACATAAAAAACTGTCATGATTCATCAGTGCAGACAGGTTTTTAATCCACTCTGAAGGTGCAGACTGACCTYTGTTCTTGGGCAGCAATGTGTACAGAGTCCATGATACGGCGCAGAGCTTCAGAGACTTGCTTGGCTCTCATTGTGTGCTGCTCAAACTTGGTCTTCACTGCAGACTGAGAGATGCACTCCTAAATACAAATACATTTATTGAATTATTAACACAATTTCTAATATTTTATAAGTGTAAACTTTTTGAACAGAGCCTATATTACAGTTAAGATAACTGAAATAAGCACAAAAAATTACAAAGCAAACTCAACAAAGTTGGGCTTTMTTCCATTTCTAAGAAATTATAGGATGGATGATGGTGGTTCTGGTGATACTTTGTATTTCCTTGTAGACAATAGACCTGAGTCTGTGTGCCATGTGGGAAATGAATGTGTGTGTCTACTAGGGTTGAGCCGGATACTCGTTTCAGACGAGTATTCGTTACGGATAATGCATTTTTGACAAGTACGAGCTTGAACCGAATAATGCTTGTCAATATCCGTGCTCATTCTGAWGGAAGATCCTCATTGGGTAACTGACTGTCTTCACGAGCTGTGATTGGCCAGTCACACACAGAGAGCCCGCCCCTCCCCTCACAACTCTGCAGCGGGAGCCTGAAGCTGACACACACACACACACACGCGTGCGCAGACTAAAGTTACTTGGTGAACTTGTTTTGTAAAAAGTAGGGCTGTATATTGGCAAGAATTTGGCGATACGATACATATCATGACAGAGGGGTCACGATACGATACATCCCGATATATTTCAATACTGTAAACAAGGTGATATATTGTGATATTTTTGGTCCAAAAATTCTATTAAATAAAAACCTCTTCCTGGAAAAAAAACGAAAAACCAAAATTCATTGTCTCAGAAAATTCTAATATAACATAGACATACTTTTGATACATTTAGCTGTGTTCTGCTTTGTATGTGTTTTATTTTATTTGNTTCATTTCACTTCTCAAATATCTGTGTTTGTCCCCTATATGATATATTTAACTGATTTTTTAATCCAAACAATCAATGATTTATAAAGGTAAATCAGGAAAATGAACAAGGCTTCTCAAACCTTCACACCCCACTGTATCTCATGAATCAATGAACAAAGGTTAACAAAACKCTCAAAATTTGTAATTGGATCTAAATTTGAAAGTCAACCCAATTCAAGATGGCTGAGCTGCCACTGACTATAGCCACAACAAGATCACTATAACTCAAACTCACAAGCTAACAATTGATGTGGTAGGAGCTCAAGAATTCCTGCCAACTTATCTCAAAAGGCCTTGTATAAGACTGCACAGAATTTACATGACTTGASAAAAATGGCTATAATTCTCTCATTCCTGAACATAAAATGATCTTATGTAAAACATGAAAGTATTTAATAGTCATGACTGTTTGCATAGTTATTGAATTACAGCTAAACAACATCTGATGAAAAACTGAAGGACTAAGAACACCTGTCGTTGGTCCCAAAGTATGAAAATGCTTACAGCACACAACCACCTCAGTTTGTCAGAATAAGAAAAGGTGAATGATTGTGGTTAGAAGTGTCATGAGTCGTTACCAATCATATCAGTCTGCATGGCCTGAATGGAACTGGTGATAGAACTGGAGCACTTCTGTGACATGATGTTGCCAAGGCCCTCCTCTATGTGGCGATGGAGCTCCTAAACAAACAAACAAATAAATAAACAAACAAGCAAGCAAACTGCTCTTAGGGCTTTTAAAAGGTGGTGTTAAATACAACAAAGAAAACAAAAAAGGCATGGTGTCAAACTATTTATGAGAAGTTACAGTATGCTACAGCCTAGGAATGGCTTGTGCTACATAACCTTAGTGTAATCACATTGCTGCTGTTGGGGTTTTGACTTACAGGAGCGTCTCTGTGCTGTTCACAGTTAGATATAAAAGAGATCCACGCTGTGCACATTTTGTAGACTGTTTTCAAAAGCTTCAGATGTTTAGAAGTTTTAGTGAGCAAAACTGTCCAGATATGTTGATAACTCTTATTGTGAAGGACTGAAGGAAGTGTTAAGTGAGCGAATCCTGTGCTGTTGCTGCTTTACATGGCAATGTGTTATTTTATAGTCTWTGCAGCAGATATCTATAAACATGTGGAACAAACTAGATACTGCATAGCGGTAGGTAACGTAATGAACCCCGCACGCAGAAATGCACCAGAACTCAGAAGTTTTTATTCCTAATAAATGGCATGCTACTAGATGCATCCCAAAATTTTAGTGGTTTTGGTTGGGGTCTTTTTTTTGTGTGTGTGTGTGTGT